ACAATTTCGACTTCAAAAATCCAAAAATATTACATACAGAACAATACAAACATAAACGTAATTTCTTAGAAATGGTTTACATCAAAAGAGATAAACACAGCATCAATTACAGAACAGATACATGTAAACTCAGTCGCAGCTACGCCAATATAATTAACCAAATACAATATAGATAACATACATATATCATTGCATTACATTCCACACATCAAATACTTTTCAAATAGTCTAATTGTCCAACAATTTAGCTTTCCTTTTCCTATTTATCCCTTTCTATATAATCCTGAAAGGATAATCTGACCGAACCATTACCAACATTTTTTCCCGTCGTCGGCTCTTTTCACCTCAAAGAAGCCGACGCCTTATACAAAAATGTCTTTTCTATACCCCACCCCTTGAAAATCCAACATATATCAACATAAAACAGCAATATCTCACTGGCACTCTCAACACGACACGCAAGAATGGCACAATTACACAGAAGACAAACACTTTGAGTGAGTAGAAATACTTTGATTGAATATAAAAAATATATTTTGCATTGTATAAATTCACTTTTTCCACATCCTAAATGTATTTGTTAAATGTAAACAATGTTTGTAAATCCCAGGCCCTGAAGATGATCTCAATAAAAGATCGAAACGTTGGCACGATAAAGAAAGTGTTTTTCTGAGACCTACATCACACCAGACCGCATCTCACGATTTCTGAATAATTATCGATTAACGGTCACTAATCACCACACATTAATTAATAAAACTAAACACACATTTGTAGTATTTATTTTTATTTGTGTAAGCTACAAATAAATTATATATAAAAAACGTTCATAAATATCGAACTAAAATATATATTTCCGCTTTGTTGAGGCTTGCTCGACGATATTTAAATGGACGGAGCAATCTATCTTCAGTAACTTTTTATACAGTCATACCAAAAGGTGAAATTCCATTCTGTTTTCCCTTGCGGTACCATTGGATCTCTCTGAGGAATACTCCCTTTCCTTTTCTGTATTTTTATTGGAAAACATATTTTCTCAAGTTCGAATAATGAGGAACGAAACATCTTTATTGGGTTAAACCGTGAAATATACACCGAAGGGCACGACTAGAGTCGAACAATCCCCGCTTTGACACCCTTAGATAAAACTATACAAAACGATAATAAAAGTTGGCAAATTGTTTTGGCCCTTAGCCCCCAGTGTATTACAAGGCAGGGATTGAGAGAAAGTTCGCCCCCACTGGAAGGTGCACGGTCAAATAAAGTTTTCCTCGGCTCCTTTTATCTAGAAGAAAAAGGGGAAATACAAGGAGGTTCTCGGAAATGCTTAGAGTTCGAGAAAACTTCCCTTTGAACTTGAGTCTCTTACCGGGAGAAATGTGTTTATACTTCCTCATTCTGCTCGTTTAGGTGGCCAACTGTCTAGAATGATGTTTAGACAAGGTAAAATAACCTAATAATCGAAAATCTATTTTTCTTTATATTCCAATTAAAATTTTAAAAAAACGTCACCGCGAGACAAGACAAACGCAAAAATCGCCTCTTCTTAGTACATAATGAGTTAATCCACATATAAACTATTAAAATTAGTAAAAAATACATAACACTATTTAATCAAAATATGATTATTATACTTTCCCAGGTTTTCGGTAAAACCAATCTTTGTGATTTCTCGAGGGAAGATGTCAATTAATCCCTATGGCAGTTTGATTATTAAATTAGATATGATGTTTATCGAATTCAAACGTATCACACTCAAGCGAACGTGTTAATAATTAATTAAAGAGAGTGCGTTTGACACTTGAGGCTATTGAATCCCAATAGATATCCCATAATTTAATTTGTACAACGTGCAATACGTGCCAATGTCAAATTTACCCCGAACCATTCTATATTAAATGGATAAACCGTTTCTTTTGTTACAGAGGTAGACATCAACGGGACGTGCTTCTTCACAGAACAATGCGAAAACAGGGTCGACCAGACGGAGTGCAGGGATGGAAGATGCGCTTGCAGGTTCGAAATGATTCCAACTCTTAACAAGAACAACAAAATAGAATGTGTGGGTCAGTATAATTGTTTCTTTTTTTTATTATACTTTCTTTTTTCATACTTTTTTCATACATCCTCTATAGTTACACCAAACAAGGTAACATTTTGCTAAATGCTTTGTAAGCTGTAGTGTGACGGTCACCATTTCGGTATGACTCTCCATACCAAGGCTGTTTTGGTATGTCAGGCGCGTTTTAGCTTCTCACAATCTACAATAGTTATAAGCATGGATTGGCAAAGGCATTCATATATAAAATCCAATGAACCTCTCGAAAGTTTTTTTTTTTTTACAACCTTCTTTCAAGAAGTTCTAAGTTTTGTTATATTAATATGTTCTGTGAGTTTACCCTTCAGGGAGATTGTTACAGCTTCCTTACTGCGGCTGCACGTACGTTGGCGGTAGCTCAGTGGAGAAGGGGGGGAACGTGTTGAAGGGAGAGACAAGTGATGGTCGGTGATGAGGTGGAAGTTTTTTTATACGTGTTGAGCGCCACGGTATTTTTGGGTAAGGATGAATACCGAAACCAGGGGATAAAAGGAAAAGAAAAGTAGGACGATCGGAAGAAGGGGGGGAAAGAAGGGTAGCGATGCAGCGCTTCTGGCGCTCTTCTTCCTGATGGCGCTTCCAACCAGGATGCTGGGAGCTAAATTATGAAGTTCTTCCTGCTTCTTAATTCGTTAACACAAGAAGATTTGTTAGGGTATTTAGCTTACTTAGGGTTTAGACTACGATATAAAAAAAATAACAAAAAAAACTACGTTGATACTAATAACACTATTCTATTTATAATTCATTGACTAATATTTTTAAATTAAAACTATCGAAAGGCCGAAACTTATAATTAACGTCTCTAGTCCCGAATTATCAGGCCTGATGATAAATTTGAAATGTATCAACTCACGGGATCACTCCTCACTTGCCGGGATCAGCCAGTTCCTCTTCGTAACAACTCTTCGATCGGGTCACAAACAACACACACACATTCACTTTTTTTAAAAACAATATTCTCTTTTGCTAGCGGAGACAATCTCTTCCTCGGAACGTCTATCCCCAACTGATCCTCCTTGCTTTTTTTCCGTTTCTTTTTTTTCCAATCTCTGACCCAATGCCACCCCGATCAGAATCTTGCAGGCCGCGAATTGCTTCCTGCTTCTCGGGCTTCTCTTCTCGGTTCGTCCCGCCACTTTTAAGCTTTATTAATTTTTTTTGAAGAAGGAAAAAATGTAATAAGATGAACCTGTAGTTCGGTTGTTCCTGTCATTTCGGCTTGATTATTCTCCCTGTTTTGGTCGTCGAAACTATAAAAAGGACAGGATTGAGAAAATAACGAAGACCTATCATTGAGGTTTGATGAACTTTGATGAAGCAGCTTGTTCGCTTATGGCGACATGGTTCCTACATTTGTAAAAAGAATTTGTCGTATGATCATGGACATAAGCAGATTGAAGCGACATACCAGCGTTACAGTCCTTGGCAATATTGGGACTGAATCGGTCTTCAAGGAAATTTGAGATCGCCTGTAAAAAATTAAATATGTCAATCTGTAGATGTATTCAATGCTGTTTTGATCTAATGGTGACCTTCAAATAGGTCGAAAGCTTGGCAGTAGCAACTGAATTTCTTCAAGACCGGACCTTGATCCAAACTGTGCGAAAATAAAAAAATGGTCGATACTTAATTGTTGGTTTTTTGTACTTTCAAATGTCGGTTTCATTTATAACCCTGGCCAACGACTGAAAATAACAAAATGGAAATACACGCTGACTGTGAGATGATGAATATATAGTTTGGTCAGCGATATAAACCGGGTGTCGCAACAAACCACTACTGAAAATTACAAAGAAACGCACTTCTGACAGGTTTCCCCCCCTGCTCATTGGTTTATTCTCACCCTGCTTATAACCTAGCCGACGACTAAAGATCGCGTAACGAAAAAATACACATCTGACTAACCAAAACACCTATTTATTATTATTTTTTGTATAACTTGTTTCGTTAATGAATTGGCGAATCTGTAGTTTGATCAGGGTTTTAAAGAGGCTGAAGCAACAAACCGTCACTGAGCATGACGAAACGCCGAAACCATTCGACAGACCATAACAACCTTGAACCTTTTGAAAGTTTTGTTTTATTCTTACTTTCAAATGTTTCAAAGTTTTTTGCTCTCAGTTATCGGGTTTTTTGTCAAGATAAACAGCAAGGTTTTGTTTTATTGCCAAGCTTTCGACTCTATATTTAGGCGTTCTCAAGGCGCTACAATGACAAAAAAAGATTATCAATACAGTAATTCAAAAAGAAAAACACTTTTTTTTTTGTTTAGGACATACAAAAACAATGTTATCAATTTATAATTGCGAACATACGAAAATCACGTTACAAGTAACAAAATAGTTATATTAACTAAAGATCGCGTTAAAAAAAAAAAAGTTATAATATAGTTAATTGCCGTTCTTACATATCCGACGTATTGACGCAAAATTTCTCTCTGTTGGAAGGTTTTTTAAAATGTCAGAACTTATACATAAAATTTTTATTATAAATGTTAATATTGCTGTGTGTCGAAAATGTATTTTGGTCGGCCTGTCCTCGCTTGTCTGAAGGAGACTGAATAAAAAGGACATAACTTAAAAAATAACGCACACACACACACACACACAAACTACTGAAAATGGCGATAAACATCAAAAGCAACAAAACAAGCAAGAATTGCCATATTAAAAAAATTCGTTTATTACGAGATTACTTGCTTCGGTTTGTGAAATTTTGAATTAGTATTTTTGATTACAGTGGTCATACCATCCTTGGTGCTTTGGTCTATCAGACTTGCATTTTTATTTTGTTTCATTACCTCTCCCTGCTTACATCCTTGAAGATGTTAAAAAAGCATATATTGACAAAAGGCAAGTTTTATTTTATTCATTTTTTTGTGCAATTACGTGTTTCGGTTTATGAAATGATGCATATTTAGTGGAATAGAATAGAGTTTATTTTAACACAATTTACATACATATGCATATATCCTTACATTTGCTATTTTTAGGGGAAATAGCGGAGCACTATTACAACCCGTTTTATTTATATTTCTATTTAAACCCCAGATTTAATTTCATTGACTTTTAATTTAAACTCGTGGCAACATTAAGTAAACCACAACAAATGGAATAAATATAATTTAAATCAGGTACAATTTGGCGATATTGCAGGAATTGTAAAAACATATATAACAATATACAAACAATTTACAATTAAATAACCAAGCCAGATTTAGTTAATCAGTGTTTAAAAATCAATATATAACCAATATACAGATCAAATGAATAGTCTGAGTAAATAAATTTAAGTGATTTAAACAGATAAATAATTTAAATAAAAGGCATGTATGTACATATCAATGTATAAATAGTTATTGATCGATCATCGAAAAAGAGGAATTAGGTAGTCTTACTCTCAATCAACTATCGAACATTAGGTCGTCATTGAAGAATTTCATCAATAACAAAAAAAATGGGTTTTCATTTTTGCCAGTTAATTGTCAAATTCTAAGAGCACACACACAGGATTTATCAGATGTAGTCTTGCTAAAATCATATTCCTTAATACTTTCGGAAACAGGGCTGTATAATGATGAAAGTGTATCCCACAAAATATATACATTTTGTCTGCATCGGTCAGTTCAAACGAACTTTGCTGGTAGCTGGTGGAGTTGTTATTTATAAAAATTTCAACAAGTGCTTATTTTTCACTTCAAACTTCGAAAGTAATTCACGCTAAGTTAATATAGTCCCTGAAAATAGCGCATGGTCAGTCGGAGAGATTTGTCCTGCTCAGTGCTTTTTAGATGATGACGGAAGAACTGTTTTAATAGTTGCCATGTATTTATTTCCTAACGAAACTATTTCCATCATAATTACATTTATATATCAAACATTATTATTCTACTCCAATGACACGCTTTTTTTACGAGGGTTCGCGACAGCAGAGGTCATATAAACCCTCAGGGTGCCGGTGCTTTGAAAAAAAAAACATTTGTAAGTATATCGGGTTCGAATGTAGGGCCGCTAGATTCGAACCCGGGACCTTTACCTTACAGTGATGACTACGTGTCAACGCCTAAACCGTTCCGGCCACCGACTCCCCCAATACGCTTATTTATGAATGTATTGATAAAGAGTTATCGTAATTGCCAATTATTTTCAGTGGCGGTTTTTCTTCTGGGGAAGAACAACCTTAAACTGATTTTTAGATCTGACATGTAATTTAAAAATAAACAATGATACCAACTAAATTCACTAGTTTTCGTGGTTCGCTTAACCAATTAATATCTTTCAATTAATTAAGGTTTTTACTTGAGATAAAAAAGTCAGTATCACGAGCGGGATTCGAACCCACGATCTTCGGCTAGATACGCCGCTGATCTACCACTTGAGCTATCGAGACCTTGATCCACTAGGGAACTAACTTCCCATCTCAACCCCACCTTTTGAATTTTCCCTCCTTTTTGCCATTGTTCGAATGGCAGTGGGTTCGAATCCCGCTCGTGACACTGGCTTTGTTATCTCAACTAAAAACCTTAATTATTTGAATGATACCAACGCCCAAAGTACTAAATCAGGAAGCACCGTTGATGCCGTTTTTGGTAGATTCCTTGAGAAATTAGAATCAAGAACATTCATATCATACTTTAGTTACTATAAACCAATAGTCTCTTTTCTAAAATATAGGGAATCGTTAATGATTACAAATTTAAATTTGATTATTGATTCCAAACCGAGCATGTTCTTAAATGTGGATTTATAGTACTTGCCAATTATTTTCAGTGGCGATTCAACCTTAATTTTTCTTCTGAGAAAGAACAACCTTATACTGATTTTTAGATCTGACATGTAATTTAAAATCAAACAATGATGGGGAATTGTTAATGCTTATAAATTAAAATTTGAAAATTGATTCCAACCCGAGCATGTTCTTAAATGTGGACTTTTCATCAGGCTGTTACACTTCTGTAGTGTGTAGTGTGAAAAACTGTTTTTTTTTCTTCCCAAACAATCGGTAAGCCGTTTACAGAAATTTTGTCCCTACAGATAGGGCGACGCCTAGTAAAAAATATTGCTTCAGTTGTAGGATAATTTATTTTGAGCTTCCGCAGGTTACAGAAACAGGACACCCTGTTTGCATCCTCGGTTAGTTTCCTCACAATTTACACCAGTGGTTCTACGGTTGTAAGCTGGGGTAACAAAAAAGAAGCACATTGAAGAATTCGCAATGCCGGAACTTAATTTATCATAAAACTTTGAACCTCTGGAAAGTATTTCTCTGTCGTTTTTAAATTTTATGCATAGAACCGGTCTATTGATGTGCTACATTCAAATTAGTCGGGGCTAAAAGGCTTTGAAGGGCTAAAACCGTTTACGTCAATCTGAAAATGTAAGAGAGGCTTTATTTCTTTTTATAGCGTTCCTCATTTACGAAAGAAAAATAATTGCAAACGAAAAAAATTTCGGAGGCGGGCGGTTTTATTCATTGTGGCGTTGATCGTTAGAGATGCGCATTTACCTTCTCATTTGTATGCTAATGAAACACGGACAGACCCTTGCGAATATTAAAATCCCCGATCCGTACATTATAACAATGCCCTTAGCATTGTCGGAAGTCGGCGTTCTAAATTAAGGGAGAGAGATGTCCAGAACGCGCTTTAGGCTCCCCCACGTCCAAGATTGGAATTTAATTCCGACTTCGGAGCCGTATTTCAACCCTGCTCGCCTTTTATTCCGTTCGTGTTTTGCAGAGACCGTTTTGGAGGAAAATCGGCCTGAAGCTGGATAAGCTTTTATACCGTTACCATAAAACCGGAGTCACAAATGGTTAGATATTTATTCCGTTCTCGACGATTTATCCACCTGGGTCTTCCATCGGCAGTTATATACACAATACTTGCCTCAATTTATAATTCTAAAAAAAATTTTCTTACATACTGCAAAATAGAAGTAAAAGGTTGATACGTCCAAAAAAATAACAGATTTATCCTCTTCTGGATAGTTTTTCATATTTTATTGATTACACAAACTGACAATTCACCAATCCAAATAAAAATAACCATAATGTAAGAGAAAACGTTCATTTGTTTTTGTTTTTTTCATTTTCACGATAAAATAAAATTTTGCTCTTAATTTGTCTCATTGTTTCTACCAATAAATATTTGTTTAAGCTATGTTTTAAATTGGGAATATCAATTAGAGGTAATCATACTTAATCCTTAATCCAAACCAAGGATAAACGATTTTACAATGTTTACTTTTTACGGATTTAAAATGTTTATTCAGACCCATTTGAATCCGGAAGCAATAAACTGTTTAGTTCTCACCTTTGTTTTCTTAATTTCAATTTTTAAACATAAAAATGCCATTTAGTGGCACTTATTGGTGATGGACGTTCCATCAGGTATGCGGCTATTGCCATCCGAGTTCCCTACGAAACTCTGCGAGAAGCTATTAAACGTTTTCGAGAAACTGGATCCTACCATATATATTACGCAGGGCGGGCGACCAGGACCAGAGGGGTTAAAAGCCTGGGTAGGCCCGTACCCCATCCCTAAAAGGTCCGGGACCTGGTCGGCTCACGAGTCCTGCATAAACCTTTTGGACCTATTTACAAACCCCAAGATTGTGGACCATTTTATCCTGGTGAGTGTTTTAGTTATGTCCTCTCCTTCGAAAGTATCAAATCTTTCCCTAGCATACCTATCGCATTCTGCAAGGTAGTGTCGAGCCGTTTCTTCCTTTGTTTCGCAGAAGCGGCAAAAAGGGTCTTCTCAAGGGGCAATGGCCCGTTAGGATACCTATCAGCCTCCTAATTCCCCTCCTAGAGTGAGAGAACAACCATTCGTTTCTTTAGGTTTGATTTCCTTCAGAAACTCCGGGGGACATATTCCATTCTTTAAGGAATTGTTTCATACCCCAGCAACTTATACTCTCTTTCGCTGTGCTTAAAGAGTGGGGCAATACTGGTTGTGGCCCGACAAACGCAGTATTTGATCCTTCCTTGGCCAGGCTGTCCGCCTCCTCATTGCCATAGTGCCCCTTATGAGCGGGTATCCATGGATCCTACCATAGATGGCCATCTATTCTGGACGCTCTAGGGTAATAGAACCACAGGATGTCCGTTTTTTGGCTTTGAGAATTTTGCGAAACCGGCACCTTAACCGGTTCAAGCGATTCATTAGCTCAATGAAGTTCGAGGTGTCCAAATTTCTGAACGCACTACTCGAAGAAGATAAAATCAGTATGAACTGATGGCTTTTCGCCCCGTAAGAGGACCAGAATTGACCAGAACACCAGTTGCATGTCTCGCATTGGTCGAGAAGACAGCCATTGGTCTTTGGACGATTGGTCGGCTGCACTTTTTACATATGAGTGTAGATTTGCTCTACGGTTTCCAGATGGGCGTGAAATAGTGCGGAGAAGGCTAAATGAAAGGTACGACGGCTGTAAATTTTTCCGTTGCTAACCTATTAACATAGCTCAGTGATGGTGTGGACGGGATTTTCAATGGAAAGGCAAACAGAGTTTGTTGTTGTTCGTGGAGGGTCTATGACGTCAACTCGCTGTGTGGATGAAATTTTAGAACGCTGCCTATCCTCGATGAAATCATCCTACTCTAATCCCACCTACTTAAATCCCACCTGTATAATCACCTCCTCTCCCTCCAAGCAGAGACCTCACGTTAACATTTGTTATTTTTGTTTGATATTCTCGTAATTTTTTCTTCTGTCCTGCCTTATTGGTATACATTGTGCCAAGATTTCTATCTTTTTTTTTAACTTCATAGAAGGAACTTCTTTTATTTATTTCATGTAAATTATTCTTAGGGGACACCAGTCCCAGAATAAAGTTATTTTTCTTCTTCTTCTTCTCTTTCTCTACCTCTTTCTCTTCCTCGTTCTCTCCCTATTCCTCTTCCGTTCATTTCCCCATTCTATAACACTCTATTTCTATGTCTCTGCTTTATCGATTTACAACATTCTCTTTCTTTCCCTTTCTTCCTTCCTTTTGCCCTTTTTTTCTTTTGCCCATTCTATGACAATCTCTCTCTCTTTCTCTCACTTAGTAATTTTCTCTCTTTCTTTCTTTCTCTCTCTCTCACTCTCTCTTGCTCTCTCCTCCCTGCTTCCTTTCCACCTTCTTTTCTTCTTTCTCCTTTCTCTCCCTTTCTTCAATCTATAATGTTTACTAACTAACCCGGATCTTAAGTCCAGATCTCCAAATCATCATTTATTTCTAAGTAAAAATATCACTAGAGTCAATAAAGCTCCCTTGTTGGGAGGGGAGTTCTCTTAATAATTACTAAAATTTCTACCCGATGTTGTCTGAATATAGAAAGAGGGATGCCCGAGTCTGGAAAGCGTTGTCGGAGCACTGCAGACGTAAAACCTAGATTAATGGCAACCCCATTTCATTACCGTCGGCAACATTAACTCTGTAAAAGGACGATAAGAGCTTTCCACACAAAGCTTTTCATTTCCATTCGACCTGTATGCCTTCTTCGTTATCAAAGCATAAAAACTTATTCTTTTTCGCCGCTAACTTTTAATAGATAATCTAATTGGTACTTTTTTTATTATTATGTGATTTCGCTAATCTATTAATTTATCTTTCAGCAAGCTACGAACCTCCTGCACCTGTCCAGTACATCGATCCGGCCATGATAGGCGTGTTAGTCGGTATGGCGCTCATGTTTGTCATCATCTGTGTCGTCCTAAGATTATTTAGCAAGTAAGTACATTTTTTACTATTGACTATTGTTTGTAGTGTTGAAGTTGTTTTTAAAGTTTAGCATATTGTCTTTTGGAGATAACGTGAAAAATGGTCCATGAAAAAAAAAAAAATGTTTTCTCCGCCCGTACATTACTTTGATTTCGTACAAATAATTTACTTATTAAGGGCATTATTTACGTATATAAAATATCGTTGAATTGTTACCGGTAACGTGAGATATGGTCACCTGTGTGTGAAGCATTATCTGCGGCTTTTTAACCATTTGTTCTCATATAAGAAAAAAAAATAGATAGGCCGAGAGAGAATACTTCCGGAGGGGCGAGGAAAAAAATTATCATGCTGCTCCGAATACGGTGATGGATATTTCCAGACAAAAGCTGACTCAATTCCCTAATGGTTATACCGTCCCTGCGGTACCGCTTTTCAAACCAACCCCCCCCCCCTATACACCAAATTATCCCGTAAAACTTTTAAAAATTATTAAAAAGCTCTATGAAAGGTAAACTATAATCATAGTAATTAACATTCAATTCACGCACGTGTTCCGAACCCAAAATATAGCCAGAAAGGTCTGTACAGCTGTATGCTCAGGGGAAACTCCTCCAGTTCCTGGTATCCACCACATTAAAAAAATAAATAAATAAATTCTTTAATATTCATCATTAATACTAAAAATCTTAATTAGCAGACTCGTGGTCGAACTCTGTGGTGTTGTTTATAAAAATAAATTAATATAAAATAATCCATTTTGTAGAATATAATTTTGTTTAATAAAAATAAACAAATAAAATAAAAACAAACAAATATAAAATGTATAACTAAACCACAATTTATTGCTACTTGTGACCCACCTAATTGAAGGGTTCAATTCCTTGGCTCCATACAGAGAGCCCGTTGGATGCCACTCGATATGGGAATTGAACCAGACGTTTTAGAAACTCGTCATAACCAAAAAAAATCTATTTCGATTTATTTTAGGTAGATGTACAGATTGCAACAGAAACCCGTTGTATCCCGATTTTGTAAGCTACTTTAAAAACAGGTTCAAGTTGGAAGAATAAATGTCCAGGACAAGATGGGATTCTGTGTAGCTTCAGTAACTCAAAATACATAGAATTTCTCTACTCTTCTCGAGACAAGGGCTGATTGAGGCTTTGCCTTTCATTGAAGGCTTATTCAAGTCAACCTTTAACGTATCCAAAGCCCCACCTAATCAAATCAGCTTCAAAAACCAGCGAACCCAAATCGAAGAATACAAATCTACATTAGAAAGGAGAACAACCTTCGAAAGATAAAAAACAGCCTGCCTGCAAAAAAAGTAGTCAACAGTTCTGGAGAAAAACCTTCAACTGGCCCAAAACTTAGGAAACAGTGGAATCCTTTAGTTGATGAAGTTTGACAATTGTAGACCATTTTGGACATTCAAGCCCAGTTGAAGAATATGTTACCGATTTTACAATATTCTGATTTTCATCGCATTTTATTTAGAATTTTAAAAAATTCTGTAAATTTCTTGTGTCTGTTTCAGTAGAAACCCGTCCTGTCCAAATTGTATTCAATATTTAGCGTACTTCTGATCAGTTTAAAAAAAATCGAATGCCAATTCAAACAACTTCATAAACCAGAAAATAAAATAAAAAAACTTTTAAAAAATATACATTCAGAAAATAAAACTTTTTTCCGAAAGTTTGATTTCTTAGAGATGACGAGTTTCTGAAACGACTGATTCAATAGAGCTTGAGCACGGCAGCCAGTATCTGTGACACCTGTTCCGATTCTTGGAGGAAACAGAGGTGTTTTCTTGTAGCAATAATGATTAGTTTTGTACCTCTTGCGTGTGTTGTGCGTGATTGTATTTATTAGCGTGAATGTGTGAGGGGTCAACGGCGGAATATGTAGTAGCCCATCAATCCTCAATTAGGTGAGTTACATTATAGGGTTAAAGGGTGATAGAGGTATATCGAATACTCCACATCCTAACTCAATGCATCCACGCTGGGAGCTGCGGCCCCTTTCAATGTGGCACTTCGGCGACGACGGGTGGTATAGTGTGGTTTGAGGCTCGAGACCCCGAAACGGCTGTTCTCATCCACGGCCCTTTCTCAATCTAGATTCCTTCATTCTATCCTGTGACCCTCCTAACCCTTGGTTACAAGGGGGGTATCCAGGCGCAAAATAAAGGTGCAGCCTAGAGGGCGTGGCCACCTCTCTGAAGCACAAGCGGCGGGTACCTTATTAGAGGCACACGACGGTCAGTGTACCAGATCCTGGCTGCAAAGACAGGGGAGGGTGCATGACCATCTATACCACGGGGTAACAAAAGTTCCAAAATCAGCCCTTGTTACAATGGGAATGGTTTCGTGGTGGCTCGTGGTGACGCCCCTGGCGGGAACTTAGAGAAGAGGCTGTCTTCTGCCCGAGACCTTCGTGAAACTTGCGTATGACCACCGTTATACACCCGGCCTCAAGGGGTACGGCGGATCGGACGGCAGCTTATAGGCGTTGAGGACGCGATGATTATGATGATAGTCCCTCGAATGCGTGAGTAGTAGCGGATGGGAACGGGTAGTGAATCGGTTTCTCCTACTCGAGAATGCTTTGCATTGTTGTGCGTATGACCGGCGTGGTACGCTTGGGGAAGCGAAGGATCGGACCACCTAGGCTGAGCCTATGGCGTCCTTCGAATGCGCATGGTAAGTGTAGGCTGAGCTCGACAGAGATTTTTACCGTAGGCGGTGCTCCTCTAGAGGGTGGTTAGATATTTCACTTAAAACAAAACCGCGGCTGGAGCGAATCCGAAAGTTTCTACGCTAGGGAAGCCCCAATACTCTGGGAGATAGAGTGGCTTCCCTGTCTAGGGAGTGCGGGGGAGACCGGGCTGTTGTATTTCGGCTATGGTAAGAACAACCCGTGCGCGGCATACGGTTTGATACTCAATGCAAATGTCTTGGCCCTTCGGGGCAGAGCTGCCTCTACACTAATGCTGCGGTAGTAACTCTATTCTTTCGTATGTGGAGGTGCGTCAGCTCTCATCTTGAGAATCAAAACGTCCGATAAGGCCGAATAGGCCAGGTGCGGACGTTAAAGATCCTCAGAGTCCGTTTTAGGATGACCGAGTATGCGGGAATGAATGAAACCCTAACTAAATGGTATGTAAATAAGAAAAAATGCATTTGAGAGAGTATACGTGTTTGAATTTAAGAACTTACTACGTTGGGTGCTGAAATGACCTTAGGTGTTGTTAGAACCCGAAGCACAACTTTGGTAGGATGTATAAGACCTAGGTCTGACCCCCAACTGCCATCTGGGTGATTCTCGAAGCCTGTCGGTAATTTATTGTAAATTACAAAAGCTGGAATTGCCGATGGACGGCGTGAAGTGGAAGGCTCAACTTCATACATGCAAGTCATATTTAAGCTTATATAAATCAGCAAATCAGTAAGTAAACTACATTTTTAATTATACGTTTTAATTGTGCCAGTTCCATGTAAATAATTTCTTAATTCTTCGAAAGATAAAGATTTAGTATTAAAGTAAGCTATGGAACTTATTAAGTACCTGCCGATTAAATTAAACACGGTTTCATCTTCTATAAATATTGTTAATCTGCCTATTAGAGCATATTTTCTTAGTTCTCCAGAACATCCATCTCATTCCGACCCCCAAATAAACATATCTTTCCTAAACTTCTGAATTGTTTACAAATAGAACTTTCGTAACTAATAATTTTCACCTGTAGCTTTCCTTGGAAAGGGGGAAGCGTCCCTGTCACTTTTCCCTTTGTTGCATTCAAACCTCCGCAAAGTTATTATATGAAAACAACTTTTTTTAACTAATTAATTTTTGAGTTGTAATAATATCTAGTAACATATGAGGCAATCTGATAAAACCCTAATTAAAATATCAAATTACAATTAAATAATTACTCACTCGAAATATTGCATTTCTGTAATTCTGCGTAATTCCATGACGAGTGATCCATCCAAGCAAAGTGCTAATATATCATAAAATATTTTAATTTAAAACAAATCATAGTAAACCGATCGTTATTTTACTTTCAGAGGAACTTTAATAAACAGTAGCAGATAATCCTTTGGGAAATCTATACGGATAGGATGTACTAAACATATCAGGATTGAATTGAATATTGCATTAAAGCCGTTGGTTGCTTTACTCGAGATTGATTATGTTTGTAACAATGAAATATATGTTGTTGCTGGTTTGTTTTGGCCAACAGAACATTGAATGAACTAAACAACATTGGCCTGAAAGGACAAAGTTGGGTTTCCAACCAGTGCATACGGAAAAATACATAAAGGAATAAATATTAGAGAAAAACAATACGACATTATATGTCTGGGTTCTACATAAAAAGCATATAGCTACGCGCTATGAGAACTATAGTTGATTACAGCAAGTCTTCTGTTCTGTTTTTTGAATATTGGTTAGGTCCGAAATATTGGTTTTCTACCGTACATTTTTTCTGTGTGTTAAAATGTAATGTATTGAAGTTAAAGTTAATAATAGGCGAGAGGTGATGGTGAAATAATTAAACATCTAAAGCTATTTAGTTAATGGCGTTTGCGGTCATTCTAGCCTGCCTAGACTCGCTAATTTGGTCTGTCTGGGGGCTTCTCGTTATCTTCATTTGTTAGTTTATGTGTTATTTTCTCACACTTGTTGTCACCGCGAATAAAAGATCAGAGGCAATCAAGCCGCGAGAAACTTCACTAGCAACAAGCAAAATGTAAATAATCTTTTTAGCAGAGTAAACAAGACTAAACTGATGGAATTTTTAGCAAGCCATAAAACGTGTATTGCCAATTTGAGAAAAACGTCCCAAATAATAGAAGGGGGTTTTGGTTCAATACAGGGTGTCCGTTTTAGATGGGCCGGCTGAATTTCTCTTCAGCCGAAAAAAATAAAGAAAGAACAAATACATGTTTAATATTTTTTAGTCTAGTTTCAAATTTTTACCTTTTTGGGAGAAAAATTAT